GCGTGTTTAATGTCAAACTATTATTGTCGGTGAGTTGTTGACGAAGGTAATAGCTGGTCTAAAACTACGGCCGTCATCCTGAGGCTGGGGCTGGTAGCACGCCAGCCTTGGCTCCGTCCACATCTACCTTTGGGCCTTGGGTGTCCTTGAGCCGGCACAAGCCACCGTTGAGGTTGTACCACACAAACACTTTGCATCCCGGTGTCTTTTTACATTCAGCGCAGCAGGATTCAACAGTCGCCAGATTGACCGAAGTCAGGTCGCCGCCAATATAGTGCGTGTTGTCTTCCAAGGTGCCACACGTGCTTAGGTCATTGGTCGGGTTCAGGACTTGGGTGGACTTGGATGGCGGGGGAAGAGTCAGGCCGGGGATGCTGGCAGCCACGGCCTTGAAGATGTTCAAGCGGCCGTGACCAAAGAGGTTGTTGGGATACTGCGTGTTGGGAATGCCACCGCAGTCCTTGTCGGGCGGAGTTAACGTGTTCGTGTCCGTATTGTCGGTTAGGGCCCTGTACACTTGGTCGTACGAGGCGTCTTTGTTGGCAGACAAGTACAAGGCGATGGCTCCAGAAACATGAGGTGCGGCCAAGCTCGTACCCGAGGCCCTGGTGAAACTATCGTCGCTGGAGTGTCCTGAGGTAGGGATGTGTTCACCAGGAGCAGAAATGTCGGGTTTGACGAGTGTATTGTTCACGGCGGAAGGTCCCAAACTTGAACGGAACGCCAAATAATCGTAGGAGCCAGTGTTGCCGACAGCAATCACTTGAGGGGATATACCAGGATAACCTGAATGCGTACAGCCTTCACGGCCGTTGTTGCCGATCGCAAATACGGGAATGATTCTCGCTTCTCTCCACTTTGTAATGATATCTTCCAAATAAAAGTCCGTGGTGAGATGTCCAAAGCTGCCGTTGATCACATGAGGGGCCTTGCTGGGGTCGCATTTGTTGATGTCTTTGTCGTGGGGACAAAGCAGGAATTGAGCGCATTCCACCAACTTGGATTCCTCGAAACCGTAGTTGAGCCCTTTGCACGCAATCCACTTGGCTTTGGGGGCGACACCAATACCTTTCGTTCCCACCATAACGCCCATGACGGAAGTGCCGTGCCCATCCTCGTCGTCGGGAAGCTTGTTCATCTTGTTGTACGGGTCGAACCAACCATATTCTCTTCGCCAGTTCGACTCCAACGACGCATGGCTATAGCGAACACCGGAGTCGATGTTGGCCACGACAATGCCTTCGCCCTCGATGCCATTGGCCCACAGAGCCGGCGCTTGGATCTTCTCGACCCCCCATGCGATGTCATCATTCACAGCACTTACTTGTTTGTCATTGCTTTGGGTTTCATCGAGTGTCATTGTAACTGGCTCGTAAATGGATTTGACTTCCGGCAACGCCGCGAACTGGTAGACGAGGTCGGTGGGGGCGTTGTTGATGTACATGGAACATTGGATCCATGTCGTGGCCACTTCCACAGCCTTCGATTCAACTTGGTTGGCCAGGAGCGACTTGATCGACGCCTGAGACTTGGTGGTGTGCTCCTTCAACGAATTAACCAGCGACTCGATGGTTTCGGTGCGAGACGCGCCGCTCTTGAGTCGGCGGCGGTGGGTGGTGAGGGCCTCGTCACAGTGAAATTTCACCACGATATTCGACTGCTCGGCGATTTCCAAGTTGCGATTTACTTGGACCGAGATCTTGTCCGTGGCGGCGGTGATGGCGGTGACGGCGAGGGCAATAAACTGGTACTGAACCATGATGTTGTTGGGTAAATGGAAATTGCAAAATGAGACCAATGACTCTCAATCTGGATGTAGCACTTGACTTGCCTTGCGCAACACGCTGGGAAATATGTATCAGGTCAGCTGTTGTGTGTACTGTCGGTGCACAATATGTATGGCATTGTCATGAAATCGTTAACCTGGAGCAAAAGCCTAGGTCAAGTATGCGTAAGCATGATCTTGCTTAAAGTGTGCCATTATGCAAATGATAGATTTTCTCATCCCTAGGTTCAAGCTTGGCCTAATAAAGTACTCAGAATCAATATTCCTATTCCCCAATCTGCAAATGAGAGATTCTTTCATTTGCAGGGGCCAATAGAAATCCAGTAAATTGAAATATTTGCAATGTCATTGGCTTAAACCTACGAATATACTCGCGTATGATTGGCTCTACTGCAAATGAGAGTACCTCTCATTTGGAACACTTCCCGTCCGCCGATCCTAGCGGGTTAAGCTTATGGAGTGCTCAAAATCGTTTACAGTTAATTATTACTGGAATAGAAAAGTTACTATTATGAATAATATAGTAACAAGATTCTGACGAAATTGCCGTGAATGTGCGATGATATACCAAATTCACCATATGAGTTATGAGCAGCCCTTGACGTTCAATGTGCAGGCACAGAATGTTGACATGAAATGGGATGGTGGCAAGCACCGAAAAACGTTCAATAAATCTGAAAATCGACCAGCCATATCTGAAAAGCGTTCAAACCCACGGAATGCATGTCATTTTAGTCAGTTTTTGGACAAATATATTACGCCGGAGTAAACGACAGCTGTGACGGAGAGTTGCCATTTTAGAAAAACTTCAAGCCGGGCAAGCAATCGTCGGTCGAAGTCGGACAGATAGTGAGATAACCACTACTTGACAGAATTTTAATCGGACTAACAGTGGGATAATTTGCACCTCTCAGAACTATATCCAGTGCTATGAGCACCTTGATAAACATCAGGTAACCGAAAATGAAATGGAGCTGAGCCCATTTTAAAAAAAATACCTGTTAAAATAAATAAAGAACCGCTTATAAAACCAATTATTAAATTTATATTTTCAAAGTAAAAAACAATTGATAAAATTCAAAAAATATTACCAAAATTTAAAGTACCAAACACACCATAAATTATTGAAATACCTAATAATATAAAAGTTGAAGCTATAGAACCTAAAATAAAATATTTTAAAGCAATTTCTATAGATATTGGTGATTTTTTTTAAAAGCAGTTATATATAAAAAGATAAACTTTGTAATTCTATAGCTAAATATAATGCTATAAAATTAAAAGAAGATACAATTAATATTAGACCTAATAAAGAAACTATTATTAATATATAAATTTCGAAAAAAACATTTTTTGTTTAATAATACAATGAGACAAGAAAACGTACAGTTTGGGGTGAGACTAAATTGGGAGGTTGGCTTGATCGCTTTGTTGCGCAGGCCAATGTAGTGTACGGGCGGAGGCTTGATCGGGAGGGGTAAGCTTTTTCGCGCGGGACTTTTTGGGGACATTTTTGTAGACACGCAGAGGCTGGGTTGGGCGTGCTGGAGTGCGGGCCTTGGTGGATTGCGAGGGTAGGTTTGCCGAGGAGAGGGCTTCGGTATGATTATGCTCGTACGACACATCCACCGCGCAGGGATACGTTGACCACACAGTTGAAACTGTCCGCGCCGAGCAGGAAAATGTTGCCCCATCCAATTGACATGGTCCCACCGATTAATATATATATTCGACTACTCGATTTAATATTTCCCAGTGGCATTCGCAGCGCATTGGTTAGAGCGTAAGTATTATATCTTTGTTCAGAGTAATATTTTCTTGTAGAATGAAGCTCTGGAATGTGATTGGGTTTGCTGGTCACAAGCTAGGGGCATTGACAGTTGTGTGCGACGTGGACGTTTGCTGATGGTATTGGTGGGGGCGTAGGGGGGTTGTACGTAGTGTGGGGAGTAGTGTTCATTGCAGAGGCGCCGACGCATATATTTGAAATATATATGCTTGACCGCACAAATAAGTGTACGAGCTGCTTGGTGGCGGGACGCTGCATTTGGCGTACTACACCGACGTGAAGAACAGTGCGTCGCTGCTGCACAAGATCCTGTCCAACGAAGTCAACGTCGCCCTCATTAACGCAGACACGGTACACAACCTCCTCTCCCCACTCGACTCATCGCTTGATGGTAGGTCGTGAGCCTGTTCCAAGTCCACGCCGCCGCGTCTCGCGCGCTCCTCTCGGTGCAGAACCACTCGATGACCACGAACTCGCCCCACTCGGAACATGTCTTCAACCTGTCAGTGTGTCACAGATTCCCTCCGCCGCTTCGGCATTAGCAACCAAGCCACCCAGGTCCTTGTGTGCGTGTTCGACGATGCTACCGCCCTCGACACAGTCGGCATTGATGGCATGCTGAAACCTGTCACTTCCATCGAAAACCACACCCACTTGACTCCCGAGCACATCCAAGTGTTGAAGAAGCACTACAAGATTCAGGACCTGGAGCTGCAAGTGACCACGCTCAGCGACGCCATCGTCAGCCGCATTGCGACCAAGAACGTCAATAAGTAGTAATTATAGCCTACTCATTGGTAGTCATTGTAGGAAAACCCCGAAACTCCGATTTGCATGTTAGGAAAACCCCAAACTCCGACCATACTTGGCGGGGTTCGGGGTTTGTACGGATTTCGGGGTTTCGATAATTGCCTGTTCGATAAAACTTATCCGGTATTTCGATATTTTTTCCAAGCAGTCGTTGTTGCTCGACATTGCGCCAACTCCGACACACACCATGGAAAGCTTGGCTGTGCAGCGCCAGATCCGTGAGAATGCCTCGTACTTGCAGGATTACTTTTCAGACATGAGCGCATGGGAGAAATCCATGGCCAAGAAGGAGCAACAGCTCCAAGGATCCAAGCGATCCGCCGCGCCAGTCCGCCGTGCAGTGGCCATGAGCGTGCGCGGGTCCGACGGCTCAGTGTCCATCCAGCACCCTCTGAATGCCACCATCGACACCCCAACCAAGCCGATGAAGGCACCATCCCAACACGTGTACGACAAGGGATACAAGAAATGGGACTCGTTCGATGTTGTACGTACTGGAAGTTGGACACATGCCATCCTCATATATGCTTTGTCAGGATGCTGCTCTGAAGGAAGTGGACACACCGAGCGTCACTCCCAGCAAGGCGAAGAGGATCCCGAGGAAGCACCCCCCGCGCGTCCAACCTCAACTCGTCCCAAGAAAGCTGTGACGGCTACCCCGAAGAAACCATCGCCGTCGCCAGTCAATGCGCCGCGCGACCTGTTGGAGAAGGAGGACGGGAACATGCACTTCAAGCAGGGCGAGTTTGCAGCGGCAGTCAACTGCTACTCTCGGTCGCTGAGCTACAACCCCAGGAACCCCATCGTGCTATCGAATCGCGCGATGGCCCATCTCAAGCTCCAGCAGTTCGGGAAGGCGGAAGCGGACTGTACGGCGGCGCTGGCGGTGGATGGCGGGCACGTCAAGTCACTTGTGCGTCGGGCGAGCGCTCGCAACGCTCTGGGTAAGCACCACGCCGCGTTCGCCGACTTGGAAAGTGCGTTAAAGTTAGACTCCACCAGCAAATCAACCATCGCCACCCAGCTGAAAAGTACTCGCGGGTTTCGGGGTTTCTGAACGTTCTAGACCTGGTTGGCACATTAGCTGGATGTTCCAACCACCCTCAGTTACCGCTTGAACTAACAAGGCATCGTCGACAGAAATGTGCCGCATTTGTACTTACTTGCTGAAGCTCTTGGTACAGCGCCATGCGATTGTCGTTCGTCAAATTTGATTTGGAATTTGTATTGCGAGCAGACTTAGAGACGTAGCAAGCGCGAATGTGGTCATATAATTCAACAAAAAATATGATCAGAATCACCTCAATGAAACATGAAACGAACACGCTCCACTAAGTTTTAGGCCAATCGGATAACTGGAACACTAATTATTGTCACTGCCGGGGTTTCGGGGTAACCAGAGGTAGTAGTTATTTCAAGTGATATCAATCGAAAATATCATTATGTAAATTGCATGGTCCACATGAGCGACGAAGAATCGGCCGTCTGCTCATGCAGATAGAGGTAGCTAGAGACCCTCCGGGTAAACGAGTTCCGGATAAAATCCGGACACGACATCCCATTGGTCAGTTCCAATCCTGACCCCAGAGGACACTTGGCAATCCAAGTGTCTTGAATCACTGGCTCTGCGACATCCGCAGCAGCACCATTCATATGACATGAATTGAATGACTGGCGCGCAGCCGCGCGTCAAGGAAACCAGCTCGGAGATAGCTAGTTCTCTAAGTTAACAATATACTACCTTGTTCTACACACCTTCCTCTTTACGCCCCATTATACCTGGTAGCACTCCCCAGTTCGTCCATCGACATTCCCCTCTGCCCAATTCTCCGAGACCCACCTTGTCACGATCCGACACATGTGTTCCGCTCTCGAGGAACAAGAAGCCTGGAGCTTGATCCACGCGCTGGTGCCTCCAGCGCAGCCCCACCTGGTTGAAAGCTTTGCTCGCCATGGCGAGAATCCTGGGCAAGACATTGCGGTTCAAGCGCAATCGCTTGCTTCCGAGCGCGATGCCGCGCTACAAGAAGTTGCCGACCTCAACGCTCGAGGACGTGCTCTGGAGGACACCCTCCATTACACGACTGCGCGTATGTCCGCGCAGACAGCCTCGAAGCCGAAGCAACGCGCCGTAAAGCTCGAATTCCCCAAGTATGGAGGACTTGCCTCCCACCAACTGCTTCGTTGTATCAAGCAAGTTAGTCGTGCCGCGGATGCTATGAACATCGATGACGATGAGATCTGCGTGTCTTCGCCATGTCGCACCTTACTTGTCGTGCGGATGATTGGGCCTGGCGCCTAACCTGCGAAGATGGTTTCGCGTTTGCCACATTCGATAATTTCATCGAACAATTGAAGGCAGCGTTCCTGCTAGCGAACAGCGACTTCCGGTACCGCGCGGAGTACCTATCTGCCAGGCAAGGCAAGCGCTCTATTCGTGAGTACGTCCACGATCTGCGCTTCCTTGCGTCCTATGTCACCCAGAAGTCTTCGCTCTCCGAGAGACTAAGGTGACAATTTTTATGAACGGCCTCAACGACTCAGCTGCGCGCACGCAGCTTTTTCGGACATATTCTTCGACAGTCGAAGATGCCGTCCGCGCTGGCCGAAGAGTTTTCGGTTCTCCAATCGCGCACCACGACCAAGACCCGCGACCGACATGACATGGAGGTCTATGTTATGACCTCACCCACCACCGACCGTCGTTGCTTCAACTGCAACCGACCGGGACACTTCTCCCACGAGTGTCGCCAACCACGCCGTGGCCGACATCTGCTCGTGGTACTGCTTCATCCCCTGCACCCCGCTTTGCGCATCCCGTTGTCGCTCGCGCATGCGGCGGTCGCGAGTTTCCTCGCGGACGGGGAAACGGGACTCCTCAGTAGGCGCGAGGTGTCCTCCTGAGGCTACAGAGGGCTTGTCGTTTCGTCGTGCTAGCATAGCACGAACAGCAGGCCCTGCCTCGGACACAGTGATTCGGTGTCAAATCGGAAGACAACCTTCCCGCATGTTGTCCTGCCCCAGTCGTATCTCTGGGTACGACCGTTTGTTCCGCGTCCTCATCGACAGCGGTGCGTCGGAAAATTATGCCCGACGCGCATCGATTCAGCTGTATCGTTCCATCTACCATGGCGCCACCCGGCTCGCATCGCCGCACTCCGTCGTGCGTGTAAAGATGGCTGATGGCAAGGTTGTCGCCTCGCCGAAGGTCCTTGTCGACCTTCCCACGTCGGTGGGAGATTTTGTCTCGACCGAACAATTCTACGTCATCGACCTCGATGACCGCTGGGATTTGTTCCTTGACATGCGATGGTTGGAGAAACACCAACCCTGGATCGATTGGCGATCCAAGACCATGCGCAAGATCGCATCCGTCCACCCTTCTACCGACCTAGGCGTGATGAGTAATGATCTCACTCCATTGTCTGGTCTGGTGACGCCGTTAGTCACGCGTCCCATCGCATCGGCTACGAGGCTGGACGTACTTCCGCCACGTTTGGCGATGATTCGAGAACCACCATGAACGGCGATGCCGCCACGTTTGGCGATGATTCGAGAACCGCCATGAACGGCGATGCCGCCACGTTTGGCGATGATTCGAGAACCACCATGAACGGCGATGCCGCCACGTTTGGCGATGATTCGAGAACCACCATGAACGGCGATGGTCCGAACTCCACCCCCGACACTCGACGCGTGATGCACACGCTTTTGTCCTCTCAGCCTGCGACCTGTCCGAGTTGCCGCTGACTGCCGCTGATATCACTCAGCTGCCAGAGATGAGCTATCTCTCTTTCTCCCGCGCGCTCCGCGGGAACGATAACATCAGCAATGCTTTCATCACGGGGAGCCAGGAGGTGGACCTTCTGATTTCCTCGACAACCGACGATCCCGTCGAGGAGGATGTGTCTCGTCCTTCCTCATCGGTATGGAAGGATTTGGAATCGAACCCATACTACGACTTGGTTCATGAGTTCCAAGATATCTTCCCGGACAGTGTTCCGGAATGCCTCCCCAAAGACAAAGGGGTACGGCATGACATTGACTTGGTACCGGGCGGTGCGTCACTCGACAGTGGCCATTTCCGCGCGACCAAGTCGCGTACATTGACGAGCTCTTTGCTGCACGCAAGCGAGCCGGTCGTATGCGGGAGAGCAAGTCTCCGCACTCCAGTCCCACTTTCTGTGTGAAGAAAGGCAACGGGAAATGGCGCATTTTCACGCCTACAACAAAGTGAACTCGGCCACGATCCCGGCGCAGACGCCGATCCCGCGGAAGGATGTCATCATTGACTCCATGGGGCAGTCCACGATCTTCAGTACCATCGACCTTCGCGATGGGTTCTACCAGATCCTGATGGACATCAGGGACATCGACAAGACAGCCGTCTCTACACCCACTGGAATGCTCTGGGAATGGCTGGTGATGCCCCAGGGGATCAAGAACGCCCCTGCTACGTTCAATCGCGTCGTCACGGAGAAACTCCGTCCATTTTGCGAATTTGCTCCGTCGTATTTCGACGACGTCTACATCCACAGACGCGCCAGTTCGTCGCAATCCGACGCGGATGTCCACCGGTCACACCTACTTGTTGGTGTTTGAGACCCTGCGAGACACCGGTCTATATGCGAACCTGTTGAAGAGCATCTTCGGGGTATCCGAGATTCCTGTCCTCGGCGACTTCGTTGACATCAACGGCTGCCGGGCGGACCAGGCCAATGTGACCGTAATCAAAGCTTGGCAATCGCCAAGCTCAGTCCCCGGAGTTCACATTCCTGCCACATAAATTTTGGAGAAAACCACGGAACAGACGCCACCTGTCAACTCATGTGGTGAGGTAGAATCTCGAGTGATGCGGCTGCGCATCAAGGTACTTAAAAGGGGAATTGCATTACATCTGAATCGTTGGTACGCACACTGCGTAGTCCGGGGTAATCAATAATCGGATGATGGCAAGGGATACAGTAGAATAAAAGTGCATACGATAGGAATGAACGTACATGTCCATAACTCAGGCCGAAGAATTAATCTGAGGCAACACAATAGCTCGTTCAACTGGTCAGGGGTAGCTCTGTAATGTAATATATATGTGAAGTGTATGTGTGCCCCAGAAGTGCTCAAAATGAATGGCTCCAAGGGGCCACAACAATTATGCCGATAACTCAGGCTGTAGAGTGAATTTGTGACAGCACAATGGCTCGTTGCGCTGGCCAGAGGCAGTTCTGTATGTAGTATGTGTGCGAAGGATATGCGTGCCGGAAGTAAGCAAGCTACAGTATATGTGTAGTATACAATGTTGCAATAGTATTAAGTGCATTCGGGAACGTTAGTTGTACGGTTTCGTACCACAGAAACACACATGAAACTTAACGTAACTTTTTTAGTAACTATTAGGTAGTTTATTACAATTTGCTACTCCAAGAGTATACTACTCCGGTCCGAACAAATGTATCGACTTTTTTACCTTGATTAAAGTATGGGCGGCTGGAAAAAATGTCTTGATGTTTGTATTGAACCTTCAAAGAACATACTTGATGGCAAAAATTTAATGACTTTTTATTATATTATGGCAAGTACTCGGATTTGGGAATTCATTTTAGCTGCTCAGGTGAGCAAGAGCTTTTTCATGGACGACAGGATCACACCGGAGATTAAACGATGTCAAGTCCTTGATTGTAGCATCTTTCCTCATATGAGGAAGCTCATAATCATTTCTACCCAAAGCACTAAGTGTCAACTCCATTACCTTTTGCAAAGTAATGAAATTTTTCGATAATGAATCACGA